GAATGCGTTAAGAGCAGAGGTAAAAAGCGTCTTCATATTCTCATTCAATTCATAAAACTCTCATTCGAATCATTTATTTTATTATATAGGCAATGCTTATAATGGCTAGCGTGATTCGAGTTGGGCAATCACAATTTGTATCAACGCCCATTGATGAAGATTCTTACGATAGGATCATGTCTTGTCTGCATGTTTTGGAACAGTTTTCAATTGATGCCTCAATTAAATCTGCGTTTCTACAGGACACGAAAGCAGCCTTTGCAAGAATTGTGGAAGCTGAAGAGGTTTTAATACTTTCTAATATTTAATATTTCTTTTGATCTATTTTGTTGTCACATGAAATAATGGTTTGATCTGGAATAACCCTTAGAAACGTACTGCAACAAAAAAAGCTAAAAATAAAACTGTGGCAGCAGTTCAAGTTGATGATCTTATTTCTTTTAGACAATTTTCAAAACGCAATTTGGGAGATGAAGCTGATGAGGTAGTTTTTCGAACATATTTATTCATAAAAGTCTTTATACTAACTGAATTTATTAAATTTGTTATAGTATGAATTGGATTTGACACGTGCTACTGGTCAAAGTGATCCGAAGGATGATTTAATTTCAAAGCTTAACCGCGTAGTTCAACTTACAGGTATTGCTTATAAAACCACGTAGGCGTTTTTTTTCCTTCTCTCTCTTTTTTGTTTTTGTTTATTGTTTTGTCTTATTTTGTTTGTTTTTTTGCGTTATGAAATAAATGTACATTATTCCTAATTAATAGGGTTTTCCGATCCTGTATATGCGGAGGCTTATGTCAATGTCCACCAATATGATATTTTACTGGGTATATAAAATATATTATTCGTATTCATAGTCGGGTTATTATTTACATTTATATTTGTGAAAACCTTTAGATGTCTTGATTGTTAATCAAACCAGTGAGACTCTGCAGAATCTCTCTATAGAATTTGCTACTTTGGGTGATTTAAAACTAGTTGAAAGACCTACACAACATAATCTTGCACCCCATAGTTTTCACAGCGTTAAAGCCACTATTAAAGTAAGTGGTCTTGAATTTTATTAAGAGAGATATAATGTCTTATTTTCATTCCCATATTTCCCGATTCCGCGTATAATATAATAGGTTTCATCTACAGAAACCGGTGTAATATTTGGTAACATTGTTTATGATGGACCGGGTACTTCTGAGAGCAATTGTGTTGTGCTTAATGACATTCACATTGACATAATGGATTATATTAATCCCGCGTATTGTAACGAAACTCAGGTATATTAAGTAAGATCTATCATCGAAGTGTCCAACTTGGGTTTAATCTGTATTTTCATATTATTTGCAACTAGTTTCGAAGTATGTGGACAGAATTTGAATGGGAGAATAAGGTCAACGTTAATACCAATATCACGTAAGAAGAGTTGTTTATGTTTTTTAATGAGTTATCAGAATTATTATTAACTCAATTTATATATTAGCGATTTACGAGAATATTTATCTCACATTATGAAATCAACAAACATGAGTTGTCTAACTCCGGAAACTGCATTATCTGGAAATTGTGGCTTCTTATCTGCTAATATGTATGCTCGTAGTATATTTGGTAATATTATAATTCAGTCCTACACCCTTTGTCGTGATTAAACTATTGTAGTAAATTTTAATTTCATTGTAGGTGAAGATGCTTTGGCTAATCTTAGCATAGAAAAACAAACTGATGGTGCTATTACTGGTCATGTTCGAATTAGAAGTAAAACACAGGGCATAGCATTAAGTCTCGGAGATAAGATCACGTTGGGTTAGTTCTGTTTATCTACTTTATATTTAATTTATGAATTCGTAGCGCTTGTGTTCATTTATATACATTTCATTCCTTTGATATATTAGCACAGAAGGCTGTAGCTTAAGTAGAGTTTCGAACCAGATGCAAATTTACTACCCGAGTTACTTGCATGGTTTTGAAATCGGGTGAACGGGTTTCATGTATCACCTTTATAACCGTCCTATAAATAAAATGTAGCTGATGATATTACTCGCTAATGTAATTTTTTTTATATTATAATTGTATCACTACATATTTATAAATTTTTCGATTTTGATATATAATTCTAATAAATAGATTGATATTTTATTACTTATTTTATTACTAAGTGATTTAGAATAATAAATAGTGTTTTATTTTATAATAGTACAATAGTATCATAGTGCTATAGTTTTATAGGGCTATATTTTTTAAAGGTTTAACTAATTTTTATATTACTCATAAAATTGTTAAAATAAATAAATAAAATAAGCTTTTGGAGATTAGAGTTAGGATTCGAATTCGTGTTAGAGTTAGGGTTAAAAGGTTGCATATATGTAAAATGATATGCTAAAAACTTTTATTTAATAGCTTAAAGCTAGTTTTCATAATAAAATTTTAAGATACAGTATTTATAATTTTTTAATTTTTTTTAAAAAAATTTTTTTATTTTTGTTATAATATTCAAATTGCATATTTGATATTTTGTTTGTATAATATTAGTATTAAAAAATAATTTTTAGTTTTAAAACTATTACTATATATTAAATATAAAATTTTTAGTTTAATTCATAATTCGTATAAGAACCAGTGAAACAACATAGTAAATAGTGAAAATATGTTTACTATATATTTTTTTCTTATTTTTGGAATCTGGTGTTTCCCAAAGAAAAACTTTTTTTTACTAAGTAAACTGCTCCTTGGCTTCTAAATAAAGTTGTATGAGAAAGTTTTGCAATTATAATTATAGTTGAATTGTTTAAATCGGCCTAATGGATATAAGATATTAGTATTTTTGTTTTCACGATTATATGTTTTTTTTTTTTT